GACAGAAAATGAGGCCACGGCAGACTGGGCCAGTTGAAAAGATGGTAATAAGGAAAACAATGACAGGCTCCAGAAGGCAAATAATTGATTGACCGAAGGATGAGAAGCCGCAGTCAGTCAGGAGGTGATTCTGACTAAGGGTAACTGGTGGTGATGGCGCACTCATTTTGAGTACACTCCAATGCTGCTGCGGTTCCTACCTTTAGTTAATTTTTTGTGTTATGCAAATCTCAATTTCAACAATTACTTTTCAAAAGAGAAACCAAGGCTCTGAGAAACAACTGCAACCCATAACTTATTATTATCCTTGTTCTCTGTTTCCATAAATCTTGTGTTGTGAGCCTGCCATGGCAATTCCTGCCCTTCCCAGACCCAGCTTAGCTCTTTACTTTACCACGAGCGGCTGTACTTCAGAGATTTACACAACTGCCCACCTGCCTGCATAGGGCCTCTCACCTGAGCTCTAGCTTGCCCGCGAGCTGCTCTGGCAAGCCTCCTTCAACTGAACCCTCATCCCGCATAGATTTTAGGAGGTCTTTGCACTCTTCATAGTCTGAGAAAAGACAGACACACCGGCCTCAGTGAAAAGCTGGACACACAGCGGTGGTCACTGCCTACAGGGCAGGAGCCAGGTCCATCCCAAGGACATAATTGACCCCAGTACCAGGCTCTAGGCAGGGATTTCACCCCTACTCTTCAGTCTCCTGACTTTCTGGCATCTCATCCTCCAAAATTTAGAGACAAAATAAACCGAAACTCAAGGGCATATCAAGGAAGTTGATAAGATGATTCAACCACAATGAAGTGAGTCAGAATCTACAGCCCTGGAGGTCTGACTCTGAATGCGGGCCACTTCCCAAGCCTTGCAGCCTCCTCCAAAACACTGCACTGGGGTACAAGCAGAGACTTCTTGGACAGCTGGAAGGCCTCAGGACTATGGGACTGATGGTTTCCCTTTAATGGGAATTTCAAGGACAACGACACAGTGGTCTTAAAATCTTTTGATTTTTAAATCAGGAAGAGCAGATACGATTTAAGAATCATAATGGAAACATAAAGTATGAGACATAAGACCACAAGACTATGAAGGAAATATGCCCAAATACTAACAAAGTTTAGCACTTAGAAACAGTAGAATGAAGAACTAATAGATAGTATGATTCTGTGCCCATAAATGTTCTAGGAGATTGATAAGAAATAGCTCATGTAACTCCCTGTAGCAATTTACAGAGGTAGGTATTACTGTAGACCTCATGAACAGATGAGGAAACTGAGGGACAGACAGGACAAGCAACTTGTTTGGAGCCCAGGAGACAGGCCCAGGGTTCCAGCTCTGCACACTGCACTGCTACTTCCAGCACATTCTTGGGTACATCTTTCTCTTAGAACAAAGCCTGTGCCCCAAGAAACAGGACTTCCTCCCACCAGGCTACTCTGCCTTTTTGTTTGTTTCGATGAGTCTTGCCCTGTCGCCCAGGCTGAAGTGCACAATGGCATGATTCGGCTCACTGCAACCTCTGTCTCCTGGTTTCAAAGATTCTCTGGACTCAGCCTCCCGAGTAGCTGGGATTACAGGTGCCCACCACCACACCCAGCTAATTTTTCTAATTTTAGTAGAGACAGGGTCTCTCCACGTTGCCCAGGATGGAATCAAACTCCTGACCTCGTGATCCAGCAGCCTCAGCTTCCCAAAGTGCTGGGATTACAGGACTGGAGCCACCTTGCACAGCCCCTACTCCTGCTCTTGATGCTGTCGGGCCAGATACCACAGGTTCACTAGGAGCAGACTCCTCGATGCCCCCTCACAGCCGGTACTGTGTAATTATCACCAAATTTCCCTCAGGGTCCCTAGAACAGAGCTTGGCCTATTGGGCCTCAACAGAAGCTTGAACTAAATAAAATTCACTAGTTCTAGACATTTAGGAATAACAGACTAGATGTTATTTTTCTGCCAGATCTTATATGGTACAGAGAGGATTCTTGAAAACATGATTTAGCATCTTGGAGAAAACAGGCTGCCCTGTGCCTCTGTCTGAAACTACAACTCGGAGATTTTAATCCTAGGCCCATCTCCAATTGACTGCAAACATGAAGGGTTTCAAAATACTTTGGTACCTCTCTTCCAACTTGAACAAAAGGTGAAAATACCTACTTTGCATTTTCCCTAGAACTACAGGAAGGGATTTTTAAATTACTTCTGATGGAGAGAGATTTACTTCAGAGAGAATAGGGACACTCATTCATCACTTTGTGATGGTGAGCTTAGGGAACTTACTGTAACTGTTCTGCCCCTGGCCAAAAGTAGGCCACTTGAGCTACAAGATATTTCTCCTTGGTGTTTATGAACTGACGCTATCTCCTGCCCGCTGGGGCGCTGTTTCGTTGATTTCTAGAGTGCTCATCTCTGACTTCCTTGACTGGACCAAGGTTCAGATACCACTCATACTGACGCTTGTGGGCAGAAGAGGTGGGGCTAGGGACTGGGGGAGAAAAAGCCCAAACACATAATGGGTTAATAACTGGTGAATCAAATAGGTTGAATCAGGACTGAGGGATGTCACTGGCTAGCCTCATCCACTGGATTTGAAGATGCTATTTCCTGGTTTCACTTTCTTCTCATCTCCACTCTTTGATCTCCTTTAAGTCAACTTGTCTGAGCTACGAGTCACCTTGAAACCAGACACAAACACTTCCACCCTTTCTTGCTTAGAAGTATCTATAAGCAAAAGCTGGGCTTGAGCCTTTACTCCCATGAGGGGCCAATGATTCTGTAGCTCAAGAGACTGCTTTTGTTCATTGAATTTTGTTTGATTCGTTTGGTTTTGGTATTTTGTGTTTTGTTTGAGAGGAGTCTCACTGTGTCGGTCCAGGCTGGAGTGCAGTGGCACGATCTCAGCTCCCCTACAACTTCTGCCTCCTGTCTAAGTGACTTCGTATACAAAGCCTCCTAAGTAGCTGGGATTACAGGCACCAACCACCCTGCCAGCTATTTTTTGTATTTTTAGTAGAGATGCAATTTCGCCTATATGTTAGCCAGGTCGTTTTCGAACTCCTGACCTCAGGTGATCCGCCACCTCGGCCTCCCAAAGTGCTGGGATTACAGATGTGAGCCAGTGACCCTGGTCAGTGACTCTATTGGGCCAGCCAAGACAAGCCAATGAAAATGAGAGAGAGTCTAGCCTGAGAAAAGTGAATGAGAGTGGGAGGATCATCTGAGCCAATCCTTGCACCTAAGCCTCCTGAGCAGTTGGGACTATAGGGGCAAAGGAACATGCCTGGCTACTGTTTTGCATTCTTTGTCAAGATGGGTTTCACCATATTCTCCAGCCTGGTCTTGAACTCATGAACTCAAATGATCTCTCCCACCTGGGCCCCTCCCAAAGTGCTGCGAATATATGTGTCAGTCACTGCACCTAGCTCCATCCTAGTTTCTGAGTAACCAATATGTACCCATACAGCCTGTACTAGAATGACCCATAGCCTAGACAAGGTATGAGACACAAGGAAAACAGAGGCTACCTGGGACAAGGTTTAGAGCATCCGTCATCCATCAGAGATCTATCTACAATCTATAAGCAGAGTCGAGTCCACTTGGTCTTCCTCAAAATGTGACTTATTCTTTTGAGGCTGGTTGGATCTGTAGAAGGGCCATGCAGGTGTATTGAACAAGTGATGGCACATTCCTCCACTGAGTCCCTCAGGGTTCTTCCTTTCTTCAGCCTTCCACACCTCCCCCTGATGAGGTGAGAGATAGAAATGGCAGATTAAACATAGAGGACAGGACCCAGGAGTCCTAGCCTGTTTTGACAGAAGGCATTAGGAGAGTGGTCACAGAAAGCAAACCGGAGGCTCCTTTAAGAGGGAATAGGAACCCTCTCTCTGCAACACAGCATGGCTGCCATGGGAGACCGAGAGGAAGAGAGCAAACTGCTGTTCATTGCACTGGACAGATAGGAGCCAAGAGAGAAGACTACGCATCTGTACAGCAGACATCACACTTGCCACACAAAGAGAAACACAACAGCCACACTGTATCTATGTTGGGTTGAATTTCCACACATCAGGCCAAGGGAATGGTGGCTTTTGGTCACCATGATGACAGGTGTGCCTCTTAGACCTTTTCATATGTCAAACCCATTAGTTGCTCCGATTATTCAGGGTTACCTGGGGGCATGAATGATTCTGTACTTTCAGCCTTCTGACTTTAACATCTTCATCCTCATCTTCACATCTTCTGCAAATACAGGAAGTGTTTGTCACAGATATTTCCCACTTCACACTCTGCAGGCACAGTCAGCCCAATGTGCACACAGATATGGACATTCAGGCATGGGTCACCGTCAGTTGAAAGCCCTCATGTTTTATTCAACAAAATGCCCTGCCATGGTTTCCTGATCCATGAGACAATGCATTTCTGATCTGAGGGCCACCACTGGCATGTGGCCAAATATTGAAAAGAACCTTGCTGCCTATTTCACTGGGGACTTGCGCAGCTTCCTCTCAGCCCTTTGGCAGCTGTCTCCATCATCCCACCAAATCTGATTCCCAGGCGAGGCTTGGTGTCCTGTCACACTCTCGTATTTCAACCTAATTCTTTCTCTAGAGGAGGACAAATCCGGCTCCCACAGTCCTCTATGTATCAGGAGACTTCACAGGCCCTCCATGTGGTTTCTCCTGTGTTATTCAGGGACATGTTTCCATGGGGAGTGCTCCAGTCTGAAGCACTCAGCAACCAAATGCTCCTGTCAGCCAAGTGCCTTTCCCCAACACCAAGCTACATTTCCATGCATGGCTTTATTCATTTTCAAAGCAGTCAAGTGTTCACATTTGGATGTCAGAACCTGCAAGAGATACTGTGCCTGCCTTTGCAGATGGAGAGAGACAATCTGGCAGGAAAAATCACTCCTCACCGACACTGACTAAAAGAACATTACCAAAGAGACAGCCTAGGGAAACTCTATCTTAGTCCAGAGCTCTTTCACTCTAAATAACCACCTCCTGTGACAGCCTCCTTCCTCTCCTTTACAACTAGAGAGATGTTGCCTCTGGCTCCAAAGACCATCTTCCATCAAGGAAAGAGGGACATTCCCAATACTGTGACCTCCAACCCCATGGGTTGCAGGGTTTCCCATCTCTGATCTCACCCAGGAAGTCCTGGTCATGTCATGGTCACATATGTTTAGTGGGAAAAAACACCACCGATACAACTGTCATTGTGAAAGTACGGAAGTCTGGAGTCTCTCATAAGCCTGGGGTTCTGGGTCATCAGATCCTATGCAAACCTTACCTGGGGTGAGCTTTCGGACGAGGTGCTGTGCCAGCCTACAGCCCTCGGCCAGCTGTTCTTGGAGGTCCCTCCCCTGGAAGTTGGCCGGCTCATCCAGAGTGAGGAGGGCCTGGAGATGCTGATTCAATGCGCGGGAGGCATCTCTCCCTTCCCGCAACTTCTCCCTTAACTGGCTCAGCTCTCGTTCCTGAGACTGAACCAGGACTTTATATTGCCTAAGGAGAGATAGTAGAGAAAATAGAACAGTGGAAAGGGGTGACTGATCAGTTCGAATACTGCGACAGAGATTTCTGAGACAATGTCCTCAAGGAGACCTCCAAGGAGAAGGTCAGCACATATTTCAAATGTCTGTGACCAAGAGAAAGAACAAAAAATGGTTTACAGGCTTCGTCTATATCAGAGAGGGCTCCTGTAAGATCCTCGACAATGTTCCATTTATTTTTCCCTTCTGTAAACAAAAGTAGGTGACTTCCTTATTCAGTTTCAAAAAGACATTCATTCTTTCAGTTCCTCACTCTGGCCAGGGACATTTCCATATGAAAATACACATAGTGCATCTCACAGTCTCTAGATGCAAAGCCATGGACAGAAATGAGGCCCGGTGCAGAGGGGACCAGTCGAAAAGATGAAAGAAGAAAAGAATGACAGGCTCCAGAAGGCAACACTGATTGACCGAAAGGATGAGAAGCCGCAGTCAGTCAGGAGGTGATTCTGACTAAGGGTAAGTGGGGTGGTGATGGCGCACCATTTTGAGTACACTCAATGCTGTTGGCTGGTTCCCACTCCTTTAGTTAATTTTGTGTTATGCAAATTTCACCTCAACAATTACTTCTTTCAAAAAGAGAAATCATGGCTCTGAGAAACAACTGCAACCCATAACTTATTATTATCCTTGTTCTCTGTTTCATAAATCTTTGTGTGTTGTGAGACTGCCATGGCAATTCCTGCCCTTCCCCAGACCCAGCTTACCTCTTACTTCACCCCACCGAGCAGCTGTACTTCAGAGATTTACACACCTGCCCACTTGCCTGCATAGGGCCCCCTCACCTGAGCTCTTCAGCTTGCCTGAGCTGCTCTGCAAGCTTCTCCTCCTTCAACTGAAGCTCATCCCACAGCATAGATTTTAGGAGGTCTTTGCACTCTTCATAGTCTGAGAAAAGACAGACACACCGGCCTCAGTGAAAAGCTGGACACATAGCGGTGGTCACTGCCTACAGGGCAGGAGCCAGGTCCATCCCAAGGACATAACCGACCCCAGTACAAGGCTCTAGGCAGGGATTTCCACCTCTTTACTCTTCAGTCTCCCGACTTTTTGGCATCTCATCCTCCAAAATTTAGAGACAAACAAACCGAAACTCAAGGGCACATCAAGGAAGTTGACAAGATGATTCAATTACAATAAAGTGGAGTCAGAATTCACAGCCCCTGAGGTGTGACTCTGCATGCGGGGCCACTTCCCCAAGCCTTGCAGCCTCTCCTCCAAAACACTGCACTGGGGCATGAAGTAGAGATTTCTTGGACAGTTGGGAAGGCCCCTAGGACTATGGGACTGATGGTTTCCGTTTGGGAATTCAAGGACACCTATGTCAAAGATCTTAAAAATCTTTGATTTTTAAATCATATCTGCAGATAGGATTTTAACAATCATAACAGAATCATAACGTATGAGACATAAGACCACAAGACTATGAAGGAAATATGCCCTAATACTAACAAAGTTTGTGTTAATTTACAAACAGTAGAATGAAGAACTAAAAGATAGTGTTTACTCTGTGCCAATAAATGTTCCAGGAGATTGACAAGAAATAACTCATGTAACTCATTGCAGCAATTTATAGAGGTCGGTATTACTGTAGCACCCTATGAACAGATGAGGAAACTGCGGGACAGACAGGACAAGCAAGTTGCATGCAGCCCAGGAGACAGACTCAGGGTTCCTGCTCTGCACACTGCACTACTACTTCCACACATTCTCGGGTGCGATCTTTCTTCCTTTTTAGGAACAAAAGCCTGTGCCCGAGGAAGCAGGACTTCCCTCTCACCAGGGTACTCTCTGCTTTTTTTTTCTTTTCTTTAGTTTTTTTATTTTTTATTTTTTATTTTTTTGACAAGTCTTGCCCTGTCACCCAGGCTGGAGTGCAATGGCGTGATCTTGGCTCACTGCAACCTCTGTCTCCTGGGTTCAAAGGATTCTCCTGCCTCAGCCCCCCGAGTAGCTAGAATTACAGGTGCCCACCACCATGCCCACGTAATTTTTGTAATTTTAGTAGAGACGGGGTTTCTGCATGTTGCCCAGGCTGATCTCAAACTCCTGACCTCGTGATCCACCCACCTCAGTCTCCCAAAGTGCTGGGATTACAGTACTGAGCCACCTTGCACAGCCCCTACTCCCTGCTCTTGATGCTGTCGGTTATAGATACCACAGGTTCTATTAGAAGTAGACTCCTCTTGAGGCCCCACATAGCGGGTACTGTGTACCATCAATAAATTTCCCTCAGAGTCCCTAGAACAGAGCTTTGCCTATTGGGCCTCAACAGAAGCTTGAACTGAATAAAAGTTCACTAGTCTCAGACATTTAGAACAACAGACTAGATGTTATTTGTCTGCCGGATCTTATATGGTACAGAGAGGATTCTTGAAAACATGATTTAGCCTCTTGGAGAAAACAGGTGGTTCCGTGCCTATGTCCGAAATCAATAACTGCTATTCTACCTCTAGGTCCATCCCCACCTGACTGCAAACATGGAAAGTTTCAAAATACTTTGGTACCGCTGTCTTCCAACATTAACAAAATGTGAAAATACCCATTTCTATTTTCCTAGAAGTAAGGGAAGGATTAAATTATTTTTGATGGAGAGAGAATTCAGTTTCTCAGAGAGAAGACAGGACATCATTCATCACTTTCGTGATGGTGAGCCTATGGAACTTACTGTAAGTGTTCTGCCCCTTGGCCAGAAAGTAGGCCACTTGAGTTACAAGAAATTTCTCCTTGGTGTGTAGGAACTGATGTTCGTTCTCTGCCCGCTGGGGGCGCAATTTCTCGTTGATTTCTAGAGTGTTCATCTCTGCCTTCTTACTGGACCAAGGGTAAGAAATTTCTGGTGTTTATGGACCGATGTTTCTTCTCTTAGTCCGCTAAAGTGGCAATTTCTTGATTTTTAAGAAGTTCATCTCTGCCTTCTTACTGACTCATGGCTAAGGCCTCGCAAATACCACTCATGCGCGCCACGTGTGTGGGGCAGAAGACGGACAGATCAAGACGTGGAGTCAGGGACTGGGGAGAAGAAACCCAAACACATGATGGGTTACAAACCGGTGAAATCAAATAGGTTGAATCAGGACTGAGGGATGTCAGTAACCGAAATTCTTAACTTACTGTTGAGAAAAACGAGATCAGTCCCCACAGCACTTTAGGATCCTTAACCACAAAAACAAGGTTCGAGGTGTCTGAGTTCAGAGCTAAGGCACTGCCAGTCGCTCAGAGTCTCACAAGAGTGAGGAAGATTGTGGCCAGCGTGCCAGGTAACGGTCTGCAGTTGCAATAACAGAATTAGAAGGTGGGGGTGTCATGGAATCTTAGGAGCCTGCGTTCCAATTGCCCTGGCTTGGCTGAAACACAGGCACCCTGGTCTCACCTGAGGGTCACCACCAATGGGCTCATTCCTTCAGCATTCACTCTCAATATTCACATACCTTTGTGACAATGCCACAGACCATCTCTTTCCCAATACATCTAAGCACATTCCTCACTGTTTATCTCTTGTCTGTACAACATCATCAAGGCAGAAACAGTTTCCCAACAGGTTATATTATCTTAAGGGCAGTCATGAAGTCACCCCACCTGCTCCCAGTTAAAACAGATCTTAAGGCTTTTCTGCGAGTGTAAGATATGAAACTTTTAGCCTGCAACTGATATCCTCTGCATCTTCTGCAGTTTTTTCTGTATCCACTAGAAAGTGAATGAATAATTCATTTTTTAAAAATATTTTCTTTCCTGTCTCAGTATTATTCTTGCTGCATCTCATTGTTATGTTGATTTCTTTTTTCTTACTGGGGCACCAGTAAGAAAAGCATCTTGGCTTTCACTACACTCTAGACCAGTTTGACATCCCTATGTCCAAAGCTCTTCCTCTATGTGGGTTGATTTGTATTTTCATGGCACTGAGCACCACATTTCATACTTGTCAATTGTGGATGTCATTCTAGTGCCTCAAGACCTCTTTTCAAGGGATCAAGTGATCAAATTCATGTATATAGAGATCTCCTGAAAACATGTATGACCATCTATCTTAGGAAGTTTCATAAACCTGATGCTATTTGGTTGTTTCCCTTTTGTTTTCCCATATACTGGAAAGAATAGGGCCACGAGCGGCTCTTATGGAATATGTTTTGATATATATTTTGTTGAGTTGGACTAACATCATTCATTTTTGGTTTCATTTCACTAACAGAACATGGCAAGATTGAGGTTATGGTCAGGGTTGGCTGGTGATCCTCAGTGGTGCAGCAGAAGGTGAGTTTGAGATGAGAGGAATGAGTAGGAAAGAGCAATCCCCTGAGCCACCTCCTCACTTTCTCAGCTTCCATCCCCACCGAGGTTTTGTGAGCCTGGAACTTGGGAGACTGTTCTGTAGCCCAGGTCTCCTAGGATTGGCTGCTGGACTTGCCTGACTTGTGGGTGCACTGGGTGTGATCCTGGGCCGCTCAGCATTCATGTGGAAGTGAAGGAACGAGGACTGGATCAATCCCATTTGAAGGGGTGCCTCACTGCAGCCCGCACCGTCCTCCAATGACACTGTAAGGATACTGCTTTGAGATGTATCAACAGCTTTAAGTAAATGTATTTTCCGGGGTCTGGGAGACCTGACGTTCTGTGTCATGATGAAAATCTGTCAAGTTTTTTCATTTTAAAAATGATAAAACTGCAGGTTCACAAAGTTACATGGCTTACTTGAGGTCACACAGGGATGAGTTTTCAGCACTGCCAATAAAAGCAATCACAGTCATTATTCAGTCATTATTCATAGGATCCACATAATTCAGTAAATATTCACATAATTATTTAGTAGATATTCACTGACCAATTCATACAAGGCATTTTGCTCAAAACTGTGCTCATATTTGGATGTTGTATCTTCACCATAATCCTTAAGGTAATGCTATTATCCATACGTAACAGGTAAGAAACCTGAAGAAGAGGGATAGCAAAGCATGTATGTGGACATATTTCCATTTTTTGGTTTTTGTGATGCTGGAAGAATGACCAGAATGAGTCACAGGAAGAATATACATACCTGGATTATTTTCCAGGACAGAGGTGTGCCCTCCTAGAGTACTGGGACCAAAATTCTCAAGTGTCTGAAACCTTGCTTTAACATTATGGGAAATAACCTCTATCTCCTGGAATTTCCCTGAAAATTTGGAATATACAAGAGAAGTATGAGACTTGGGTCTTCCCTTGGCTGTGTTTAATTCACTCTTCTATGGAATACCAATGATTCTCACTAAGACTTTTGCCTTTTTATAACCACAGTGTATGTTTCATGGAGATGATTTTACACTTTGCTCTATTTAGAAAGAATAAATATGAGCAATGGTTTAGGTGTTATGCCTTGGACTTAATATTTTTCTGATTCCTGTTTTGAGATTAAATTCTCATGGAAATAGAAAAATACTTATGATTTCTCATAAGGCCAAGTTTGTTATTAGTTTGAGTTTTTGAAGTTGAAGCACAAACCTTAGATTTGTGCACTCAATTTGGGGACCCACTGATAGCACTGACCTTACAGTTGATGGGATGATTCTTTGTGTTTTGCTGATGAAGAAACTGAGGCACAGAGAGTCTCTAACTTGTCCAAGTTCCCCTTGCTGTAAGTCCTGGAGCCAGATCTCAGGTGGAGCAGCCTCTTCCCCACTCCCTTCTCACATTTTCCAATCCAGCTGGGTCAGTTCCTTCCAAGTACATGTTTTGCTCCCTCATACCTCATTTCTGAAAAAAGGAAAACTTCTGGAATTTAACTTCTTTCATCTAATACATTTCCTCACAACATGCTGCCAGCATCACATTCTGGTCACTTACTATTAAAGTGAGATCCTTTTTTTTAACTTCTTTCATCTAATACATTTCTCACAACATGCTGCCAGCATCGCTATTCTGGTCACTTACTATTAAAGTGAGATCCTTTTTTCTCTTCTTCTTTCCTTTTGAGACAGGGGTGGTCTCCCATCACCCAGGCTGGAGTGCACTGTGATTATAGATCACTGCAACCTCAAATCCTGGGCTCAAGCAATCCTCCTGATCTCGGCTTCCCAAGTAGTTGAACTCTAGGCACACATCACCATTTCCTGGCTAATTTTTTTTTATTTTTCATAGAGACAAGGTCTTGCTATGTTACAAGGCTGGTTTTGAACTTCTGGCCTCAAGCGATCCTCCCACCTAGGCCTCCAAAAGTGCTGGGATTACAGAAGTGAGCCACTGAGCCTGGCCTGAAATGCTTTTTTTTCCTTTTTCTTCTTTCTTTTTTTTTTTTTTAAATACAGGACATGGAGATCTGGAAAGATACCTTTGCTTTATTACTGTTATTATTATTTCTATAGTATAATTCATATATCACAAAATTCACCACTTTAACCACATATTTCAGTCTTTACCGTATTCCAAAAGTTTCACATCCATCACCATCACTTTCATTCCAGAATATTTACAATGCCAAAACTACGCCTGTACCTACGCAGTCACTCTTCAATTCCCTCTGCTTGCTGTCTCTGACAACCACTAATCTACTTTCTCTAGATATAGATGTACTTGTTCTGGGCACTTCCTCCATATGGAATAACAAACTGTGACATTTTCCATCTGTTTCTTAGCATACTGTTCTCAAGTTTCATCCTTCAGAATCTGTATCAGTACATGAACTTTTATGGCCCAATAATATGCCACTATATGGTTACATCACATTTTGTTCATTCATCAACTGATGGTGGTTTAAGATGTTTCCACTTTTTAACTATTAAGAATAATGCTAAGTGAATAGCTTTGTACAAGTTTTTGAGTGAACACCTGTTTTTCATTTTCTTGGTTATAAGCCTAGGAGTGCAATTGCTACATCATATTTCACTTTATGCTTTTGTTGTTGTTGTTGTTGTTGTTAAACTTTTTGAGGAACCTACACTGTTCACCAAATTCAGTAGCTATGCCATTTTTACATTCCCAACCGTAATATATGAGAATCTATACTCTCCATAACTTTCCAAACATGTATTGTCTTTATTTTTTTCCTAAGTCATGGTAGTGGGTGTGAAGTGGTATCTCATTTTGGTTTAAATTTACATTTTCCTAATGATGAAAAATATTGAACATCTTAGCATGTGCTTCTTGGCCATTTGTGTGTTTCCTTAGAGAAACCTCTACTCACAGCTTTTTTCCCATTGTTAAATTTGGTTGGTTGTCGTTTTTTGCTCAGTTATATGAATTCCTTATATACTCTAGGTACTAGATCTGTGTCAAATATATAATTTGGAAATAGTTCTCCATTATGTGGATTATTCCTTTTCACTTCCTTGACAGTGTCCTTTTGAAGCTATTAAGTAAGTTTTCATTTTAACAAGTCCATTTCTCCATCTATTTTTGGATTGTTTGTGCCTACTTAAAAATGTCTAATCCAAAGTCACAAAAGATTTGTACCTGTTTTCTTCAAGACGCCGCTTGAAGGAGAACTTTCCTGGGTTGTAGAGGAGGGTGGACATGGTTTATTTATGCCTCCCTGGGTCCATTACTAATGTTTCTCCTGATAGTTATTCATATGCTCACCATCCCTCCATGGAGCATCCATGGCCTGTAACAGAGCTCTGGGGACTGATACCCTTCCACTGACTTTGGCGCTGGTGAGAGCCCTGGTCCTGTGGTTCAGCTTTCTTGGCCTTAACCTAACCCAAGTTGCAGCATATTCCTCAGGCCCTTTAGAGTTGAAGCTGAGAGCCTCTCTGAGAACGCTACAGCCCATGCTGTTCTAAGGCTGGAGTTAAACTTCCTCTGTCTTAGTCTTGTGACAGAGGAGACTACAGGGGGTTGACTCAGTCACACATTCCCTGGTGTTAGAAAGTAGACCTGTTTCAGGGTTTGGAGAAGATTGTTCAATATGAACTAGGTCCTCTCTAATTATTTTTACTGTGCGTACTTTTCCAGAAACAAAGGAATAAAATAAATATTTATCTTAGAACATTCTGTCAATTCTTTGCCAATTGTTGTTTGTCTACAATTTTCACATGGATAAAGGGGAGTTCAGTGTAAATATATTCTTAACAATTAATTATGGTTCATGTCCTCTGCCACGGGATCATATTTAAATCTATGAACTAGCCTGTTACTTAGGTATCTTTGTTCCCGATGAGAAAACAAACTCAGAAAGATTGAAAATTTCCCAGGTCACATATGTGTGTGTTTGTGTGGGTTTGGGTACATGGTATGTCCTAAGAATCATTAGACATATATGTGAGTATCTATTTCTGGATTCTCTTCCCTTCCACTGATATATATTCTTTTTTTTTTCAACAAAAACACATGATTTTCATAGCTGCAGAGACTTGGAAATAGGTAGTGAATTACCCACCATTATTCTCATATTGCTCCTTTATTATTCTTGATCATTGACATTACCATATAAATAGTAGAATCAACTTGTAATTTTCTACCACAATGCTGCTTGAATTTTTGGCTAGAATTGCATTGATCTGGAAATCAACTGATGAAAAGCTGACTTTTTAAACATAACTCTTCTGATCCATGACAAGGTTTTTATCTCCCTCTACCTAATTGAGTTCTTTCATAATTTCTTAAAGCAATTTTTTGTAGTTTTTGGTGTATTTGCCATACATAAATTCTTGTTGATTTTCTTCTCCCTCCCTCCTTACCTCCCTTTCCTTTTTTTTTTTTTTTTTTTTTTGAGACAGAAATCTTGCTCTGTTACCCGTGCTAGAGTGCAGTGATGCAATCTTGGCTCACTGCAACCTCTGCCTCCCAGGTTCAAGTGATCCTCCTGTCTCAGCCTCCCCAGTAGCTGGGACTACAGGTACATGCCACCACACTGAGCTAATTTTTGCATTTTTAGTAGAGACTGGGTTTCACTCATGTTACGTATGATGGTCTCAATCTCTTGACCTCATGGTCTGCCCACCTCAGCCTCCCAAAGTGCTAAGATTATAAGTGTGAGTCATCATGTGTTTCAGCCTGTTGAATTTATTTCTAAGAAAACATGTATTTAGATGTTACTTTAAATGACACTGTTTTTTACTTCCTTTTCCAAATGCTCGCTAGTTAATATACAGAAATACACAAGACTACTTATATTGAGCTTATATTCTGTGACATTATCAAACTCACTAATTACTTTTGCAGATTTTTGTAGATTTCTGGGATTATTAACATACACAGCCATTATTCAGAATAAAGACAATTTCAATTTTTCCTTTCAATCTTTCAATACTTTTATTTTTCTTACCTTATTGCATTTAGATCTCTAGTATAATGCTGAATTGAAAGCGTACCAACAGATATTCTATTTTTTTCTCTGATTTAATAGAAAAGCATTCAATTTTATGCAATTTAATATGATGTTACCTGTGAGTTTTTTTCAAATCTATCCTTAACGGGGTTGGAAGTGTTGCCTTCTGTTTTTATCATGTTGAGAGTTTTCTGGGATTTGTTTTTATAAAAATCATGAAAAAGTTTTCTTACCACAAATGTTTTACTGTGTATGATAAGGTTATCATACGGTTTTTCTCTCTTTTGCCCTGATAATATATAAATTATATTTTTAAATATAAAAGATTTCGAATCAAGCCAGGACAGTTTTTTTAATTATAAATTTAACAAATATATTGAAATATAAATTACATGGCAATTGAGATTTACAAAGTATAATAAAGTATATTAATGTGTATAATTAAAGTGTATAATTTTAAGAGCTTGAGCACAGTATACACAAGTCAAAGAGACATGACAGAAAATACTAAGGATTCCTCAGTATATGTGATTTATCCCTAGAATGTTCTATGTGAGTTTGAGAAGAGTTATTTGTTAGCTATTCTTAGATGTATTTTGCTTAAATGTCAAATTTGACTAGCTTGTGTCATTGATTGTAGAATTAACTTTGTTCTAGTGGGCAGGAAAATTACTGTCTGATCACTTTGGACTTATGTGGACTTGGTTTATGTTTTATTAAAATGAACGCATGGAAACCCACAGCATTCTTAAGACCCTCTAATTTGGCAAGTAACTCAATCCACCGCTTGTGGATTTTGTCAGGGTTTGGTTTTAGGCTTACCAGGGTTGGTCTAGAATAGCCTTACTGTGCGTGACACTCTATTCCTAAAGCACAGTCATTCTAGTGTCTCAGTTGGATACCCGGGTGCTAATGAGGTGTGTGTGAGTTCTTCCCACCCTGGATGGCAGAAACTCCATCATCCATTCCCCAACCCTCCTCCACCTCAACTACCTCTGGTCCAAACTCAATTTGATAGCAGCCACCCCTCTGTTAAATCTGTTTGTCTTTTCCTTGTGCAGGTACAGTCCCGTCCTTGATAAGTATGCACATGGAACCCTCATGGACTTCGAAGGCTGCCTCTGAACAGCTGTCTCCTCATTGCTGCCCTCTGGCCCCACAGACTGCAGTTGCTTCAGTGGACTTGAACTCCCCATCTCTGCCTTCTCACCTCAGTGGGGCTGTCCTGCTCTGAGTGGACTCCAGCCCACGACGCAGCTGCTGAAAAATTCTCCCTAAAGAACTAGGAAATCATGGCTCCCCCTTAAGTTTCCTGTTGTACTGCCTGTTGTCCACTCTGTCTGAAAACAATACCTTAAGTGGTTGCTTATGGAGGCAGATTAATCTAATATGATTTATTCTAGCAGAAACAACTAGAAATCTGTTATACTTTTTAATTACTGTGTCTTTAAAATATTGGTGGTCGAATCCTAAGATGACCCCC